TCGCCACGATCATTCGGCACATCCCCCATGCTGCTCAGCTCAGTGCGCACAAGCACAACGATGCGGTGTGCGGACGGCACAGCACGGCGGGAACCACTGCGCCGCGCCTTGGGTGGGGCTTGCACGCATGCAAACTTGTGCGGGACGTACACCCCCTGCAGCAACTCGCGGCGAACCGCCGTCAGCTGCGCTGCGAGCGACCCAGGGGGGCCAGCCAACACCACCAGCGGCATGTGAAGACGCGGCACAGCTACCACCAAGTCGCAGGCAAACCGTGCACCATCACCAAGGTCGGCGCACGCAACGTGCACCTCGCCGATGTACTCGCTGCCACCACCACGACCACCACCATGGATGATGCTGCTGTTCCCATCACCAACACGGCGAAGGAGGCAGGCGGGCCTGAAGTCGCTGCTGTCGATGTGGCTGTGGTCGTCGTCAGGGCTGTCGGCGCTCAGGGGGCGAATAGTGACAGCAACAATGGGGCAATGCACGCTCTTGCGCCACTTTTCCATCTGCTGCACCTCTGCATCTTCCATGAGAACTGCTGACTCAATGGCCACCACCACGTGCGTGCACGCGACGAAAGTGTCGATGACGTCCTGTGGAACCGCACACTCCTTCTCGTTGGACAGCCTCAGATGCTCCATACGCGCGTCCGTGATGGACACCACGCGTATGTCCATCGTGCCTGCGAAGGGTCAAACGCCACAGCAGCCGAGCCAAAGTGAGCGACAAGAGGGCAGCGGATTGCCGGGGTGAAGATGGCTGTGTGTGTGTGTGTATGTGTGTGTGTGTGTGTGTGTGTGTGTGTGTGTGTGTGTGTGTGTGTGGAGGTAGAAGGAGGGAAGCAGACATGGGGGAAATGCACACAGCAGGCAGGGTGGAATGGGGCCAGTGCGAGCCAACATGCGCGCGCGTGTGTGTGTGCGTAGGCGTGCGCGTGCGTGTGCGTGTGCGTGTGCGTGTGCGTATGCGTGCGCGTGTGCGTGTGCGTGTGCGTTCACCTACCACTTCCCCACAAGGGACGGGAGAAGGGCAGAGATGAGAAGAAAACACACACACACACACACACAGAGGGCTGCGGGAAATGGTGTCCACACTCGCGCAGGAAGCCAGCACACGTGCACACGTCCATAAGAGAGCGCAAGTTGGCAGTAGGCCAACGGCAAGTGATACAAGAGATTGTGCGAATCTCACCGTTTTTTTGTTTTTTTCGCCCAGAGCAATTCCTGCTCTCTCGTGTGACTGCAGGTGCAGTGGAAAGAGGGGAGAGTGAAGGCGGTTATGAGGGGAACACAGAAGCAGACAGCGAGCAGTTGGGGAAGCGGTGCGGTCGAAGGGAGGGCAAAAAATGACACCTGCGGCTGCTGTGGTGGGGGTAGTGCTGCTGATGCTACAGCTGTTGCTGCTGCTGTTGCTGCTGCTGTTGTTTGTGGTGGTATGCGTGGTGGTATGCGTGAATGCTGGTGCTGCTGCCTGTGGTGGTATGCGTGAATGCTGGTGCTGCTGCCTGTGGTGGTATGCGCAGGTGCTGGCTTGTATCTTCACGTGCGTGCCCGGAGGTAGAAGGAAAATGTGTGTGTGTGTGTGTGTGTGTGTGTGTGTGTGTGTGTGTGTGTGTGTGTGTGTGTGTGTGTGTGTGTGTGTGTGTGCGTGCGTGTGCGCGTGTGGGCTTGCGCAAGCGTCTGTGTGCCTGTGCGGGGCCAGTCGCTGCCCTCTCTTCTGCTCCTTGCGTGTGTGCGAACGTCCGATCTTCAAAAGCTCACTGGCGCATGGCACGCGAAAGTGGTGTGACGTCACGGCCTTGCGACGCGGCAACAACGGATATGATGGATATGACCATTTTCCAACACGCAGAAAAATTGGCCATCTGGCATTTGGGAGGGAGGGGGTGAATACCAAGATGAGAGAATACCAAGATGAGACATTTGTTGGATGTTGTTTGTATTGTGATGAGGCGTGTGTTGTGTGTTGTTTGTATTGTGACGTGTGTCTGTGTGTGGTAGTGTGTATGTGTGTGTTGTGTTGTGTGTGTTGTGTGTGTGTTGTGTGTTGTGTGTGTTGTGTGCGTGTTGCAGAGCAGACTGAACGAACCATGGCTCAGCGATGCGCAACTCAGTGCCTGGCATCATAACTCCAATCTTCACTTGTACTCCTGTGCATGGAGGTGCGCGTTTGCATCGCAGTTAGTACAGAGAGGGGGAGAGAGAGCACGCACGCACGCACCAAGCCTTGTGCGTGTGCGTGCGTGTGTGTGTGTCTTCTTCTGCTTCGAAACACGCATGCACACTTGTGCAGCAGTTGTGCGTGTGACACATTCAACAGCACCACCACGCCAACCATGCACACATGCACACAGGTGAGCCATTCACCAACCACTGTTGCTGAGCGGTGCCGTGCCGAAGCTGCCCGATGCAGCGGCTGATGGAAAGCAGCCATGCTGTCCTGCTAGCGTGGGCCAAGAGCTGTCGGTGCCCGCTGTCAGTTCATCTGAGCAGCATCAGCAGCGCAGCCAAGCATCGGCACTGCCACACCGAGCAAGGTGCGAGTCCCTCTTGTCTTTGCCATCCACCAAAACGTGCCGCTCGTCTGCATCATGCCACGCACACAACAAACAATGAGTGACAAGAAGTCACATCGAGTGGATCGCGACAGTGTGCGAGTGTGAGTGTGATGTCAGGAGGAGCAGCAGTAGTGGGATGACAACAAAGAGCAGTGACACGACAACGCAGAGTAGATATGAACAGCAAGCGTGTTTCCCACCGAAACCAACACCGCCACTAAGCCACTAGCCTATCAGCCTACTCCCCTTCTCCCATGCATACATACCACACACACACACACACACACACACACACACACACACACACACACACACACAACCACAAGCACACACCAACAAGCATGCATACACACACTTTCTCTGTCTATCTATCAATGTTCCAGTTGACCTGCAGATCGCACAGCGCAGCGCAGCCCAGAGGGAGGATGTGCTGTCCCCAGATGCATTTGCACAGCAAACCAACTTGATTCAAGCTGCACTGCATCTCTGCACAACAAGCCAGCTAGCCAGCTGCTGATACGCAACACAAGCCGCCCATCTCTCTTCTCTGCATCAACCCTTGTGATCGTCGACCACCACCACCAACACTATGACTGCTCGACTGTCTGCAAGCAAGCAAGCAAGTGAAGACTGCGCCCAACCAAGTCCTTCGCCACCCATGAACTGCTGACTCAGCAATATCCGCACACAACCAAAACAACAACGACGACAACGACAGCACGCTCAGTTGCAGTGGCTCCTGCTGACGACGCACATCACCACCACCACCACCACCACCAGCAACAGCTCCACCAGCTCCACCATCACACAACTACCAGCACCACCATCACACAACTGTCTTGTTTTGGCGAACATAATGCTTTCATGTGTAATGCTTTGCGTGGTAGGCAGCGGAGAAGATCAACAGCTGTGGTGCCATCTTCGTTGATAGGGGACGCCACTGGTCGACGTTGACAGGATCAACAGCCACTGCTTGTAGCGCACACAGGACAGGCGTGGCTTTCCAGCATCGACACAGAGACACACGGGTGCGATACATTTTGCATGCGACGTGTGTTCTTTCTGTGCCTGCTGCATATCTGCTGATGCCTTCGACGGCTTGCACAGCGACTTGTCGATTGGACAAAGGGTGCAACACAGCGAATCTTGATGTTGTTGATGTCATTGGTGGTGGTGGTGGTGGTGGTGGTGGTGGTGGTGGTGGTGGTGGTGGTGGTGGTGGTGGTGGTGGTGGTATTGGGGCCTAGTTGCTGGTTGCTGCTGGGTGTGGTTCTGTGTCGTTGGCCGTATTGGCGTTGAGGCTGCGCATCCTCTTGGTCGACACGACTGGGCGACACTGCCATGTTGTCTGCTTCCCACCTGCATGAGTGGAACTCATTGTGGTGGCATGCGCTGACCTCCTTTCATCTCGCTCCCTTCTCTCTCTTCCGTACGCTCCTCCTGCGACCCTTCACACCATGCATGCGTGCGTGCAGACAGCTTGAGGGCGAAGTTGGGGCAATGTGTCGGCCGTGTTTGGTTTGGAGGCGGCTGCATCCTTCCGAACACAACAGAGAACAGTGCAATTAAGGTACGAGGTCGGTGTCTCCGTTGTTGTTGTTTAAGTTGTTGTTTAAGTTGTTGTTGTTGTTGTTGTTTAAGTTGTTGTTTAAGTTGTTGTTGTCTCAGTTGTTGTTGTCTCAGTTGTTGTTGTCTCAGTTGTTGTTGTTGTTGTTGTTCTTGTAGTGGTAGTGGTAGTGCTTGGTGTTGTTGTTGTTGTTGTTTGTTGCTGCTTCAGTTGTTGTTTAAGTTGTTTAAGTTGTTTAAGTTGTTTAAGTTGTTGTTGTTGTTTAAGTTGTTGTTTAACTGTTGCCGTTGTTTAAGTTGTTGTCGC